TCCAAGTTTTAATTGTCCATTGGATAGTGCTAGAGTTAAGCTGTGCATGGTCAAGTACAAATATAGGTCCCTTTGGCCACCTTGCTGTACAATAGTTGGCTTGAAAGAGCCTTTGCCCTTGGATAGACTCACCTAAAAGTACTATTTTTGTTACTGTACTATAGAAGCAAGACAAGAACTTACTATAAACAACATGGATTTGGGCATGATACATATTTATTAACCAGCACAGTTTTAATGAATAAATCATCAAGTTTCTCAGCGAGAGAAAATAGAGTGGTAAAAAGACTGATCTTTACAGTAAACTGGGGTTTCCAAACTATTTTTCAAGAAATGAATTGGTTTCTAAGTTTTTCATATTGTAAAATTTTGCTTTGTGATATGGACTGAAAACGTCATATTTATTTGTATGAATTGCAGTATTATTTTTTTATTAACTCCCATAAAGCATTGCATATCTGCAGAGTAATATGCTCACTATTGCAAAATTTGATTTTAGCGTGAGATGGCCTGAATAACAACCCATTTATCATGAATAATTTGAGGTCTGGTTGATTTTAAACTAGAACCAGTCATGTAATGGCATACTAATAATAATGCTATGAGGTAATCCCATAAAAACGTGGAATCAGTATTCTTTGATGTCACAACTTACAACTATCCAAGCCTCAAATGATGCACAGATTGATCCAAAAATAGTGATGCATCATATTTCAATTTAAACACAAAATAAACCAGCGTTAAATAGTATGTAAATTAGATACTTAATACATGAACAGACTTATAAACTATGATCAGACAGTTATCTACACAATATGCATGTACCAAGTTTCAAACTATTATACAGAACAACCAAGTTTAAATTTATTTGAGCAAACTATTATTTTGATATAGAATGAACAAGTTTAAAAGTTAATTTGTAAAATTATCAAGGTAGGAGAAGGACAATTTTCCTTTTTGATTTCCTAAAACTGATTCAGTCAATAAAAATAAATATTTGATATCCCAACAATGTTTATGTGGTTGAATATTTTTTTTTTACTATATACACAACCAGTTTCTTTTGTCAGATCCATTACCTATCCCATGTGTCTTTGCATATCCTAACTTGTGAAGACCTTATCCCTGCTAACTGTAAATTGATATCTTCACTCAATATGAAGTGATGCATTTCATTCATAACAAGACCTCCCTCTTCCAATCCAGGGGATGTCATCCTCCCACACATGTAGACAAAATAAATGACAGCAGTAACAGTTTACATTTCCAATGTTTAGAATAAATCTTTCCCAAGTCTTACAGTATGTCAGAGAGAATGATGAATCAAGCATTGGTCAAAGGGTTAGCTGCATACAGATTGTGAACTATGATAAATACCAGGGAAAGCTATCCAATCTTATGCCTGCAGCGTACACATGGAATGTTGGCGGGAAAATAACTCAGCATGTCAATATTAGTAGCTAGAATGCAGTAATTTGAGGGTCACTCCATTTTACACATGTTCACATTTTAATAGTACATGAGAGTTGATGGAAAATTCACCCAACATCTAGTGAATCACATGTACACATAATTCTTGTTAACATGGATGTTATCTACATGAACAATGTACATGAAATTGATAGATTTTTCACAGCAGGGATCACATTATGGTTGACTAAACTATCAATGTTGAAAGCAGCTTGATATGCATGCATCAAATTTGCATACATAGAAAAATATGCACCTTAACAA